TAAATAAATTAATCTCATAAACATTTTGTTTATTGGGTTTGTTAAATTCGAGATAAAGCAATGGTTCTTGGCTTACCAAGACTAACTTTGTGTTTGGTTTAGTCTCGCTCGACTGCTGACTGAGACTGCTTGAGTATTTTTTCTGAGTCATTTTCTAAAAAAGAAATGGCTTTATCTTTCTCCTTCCTGTTAGACTATGCTTCTCGTTCCTGTTCAATGCCTCGACAAGACTTTTTTGTACTTCATCTTTTGCCCAGTCATGTAAAACATTATCTAAATTCTCAAAACTTTCCACCATTTCAAAACACAGAGGGAAAAACTTTGAAATGATGACATCAATCGTGCATCTGTCCTCTAATAGATCATAGGCGAGAACCAATCAAAATGCGAGAATTACTTGGGTTATTATATAAATATGAATTGAACATAGTCATTGCATATCTATTTTATTCAGAGCTATCATTAAGTTTCAGTCACCTGTAGCCTTGATCTTTGCACCCATAAAAAACTTGTTACTTTGCAGGTAAATTCTATCAACAACAGGAAATTTCATCGATGGCCCATCAAATATACTTGGCCATTTACAGATGTTGCAGGTTACGGCCCTTTATGACAGCCCTGCTATTAATGTATCAATTACTTAGCAATTTAATGGCAAACAGAATGAAGTACTTGAAGAGTTTAAATCAGTATAGGATGGAACCATGAGCTTAGGCAAAACTGATGTACCAACCCGTATCTAAAGAAAACATGTCATCTAATGCAGTGCCTATGGAACTCATTCCACCATGTATAAAGATCTTCTTCCCCACACATGCTGCTGCATGAGCTGTTCGTGATGAAGGGACACTTCCTCTTGGTTGAAGTTTGCTCCAAGTGTGACTTACTATAAAAAACAGTATTACATAAGCCGTTGTAAATATGACACAATATTATTCATTTATTTAGTTTGAATTCATGTTGGCCCAGTGGTAATTATCAAAGCGAGTGATGGGCGTCTTTAAACGGAACATCAGTGGAATAAAAAATTTGATCAATGGCAATACCACATGAAAAAGAGAGGTCCTTAAGGGTTTTTCAGGACATGAGATATTTAGGTAGAAAATTAACAGGATACAGGATATTTGGGAATGTGGGATATCTAAATCAGATAAAACAGAATATTGAGTAGGAAAATCACTACTTTTTGCAACTGGAATTACTTTGGATATACCAGTAGGATACTTAGACCAAACATAACTGGGATGTGGGATAATCAGAGCCCCCCTAATGAGGCCTCAAAAGAGCATTTGAACTGAGAATGTTCGCAATCATCCAGTAGATAACACAGCATTAGAAGTATTAACTATCTAGAAATTCTTTGGTCATCTATTATAACCTACCAGTATTAAATTTGTAGACATCATCAAATATATTAGTGCCAGCCATTCCACCATGAATGTAAATATCTGTTCCAACTGCTACCGATACATGACCATGTCTGGCGCATGGCAGACTTCCACTGACATCCGGCTGGCTCCAGCTGCTGTCCTCTGATATAAACATAAAACATGTGTATGCCATACAAATACATCTGGTACAGGAAATGGCACATACAGGACTGAGTTTAACTAAATTAGATACTACTTAATAACTGTATGTCACTGCAGGACATAAATTGGTAAGTAGGGTTTTAATACACTTTGATTATATTTTATCGCTTTTTGCTCGTTTTTTTTTTTTTTTTAAAGTGATTTTTAAATTAGCTTGATGTAGACACCTTTTTTTAACGCTTTTATAATGTTGTACATTACTTAATTTAAATCGTGGAGCACCTGGAAACTAGCGAACAACTAAGTGTATACTTTTCCACATTAAATAAAGCATGTCTATGTCTATGTCTAAAGTTCACTCAATGGGTTTTTTAGCTAACAAGTTACCCACTGGTACATAAATTCATACACATGAAGCCAAGGGGAGGTTACACGTAAAACCTACATGTATCAATTTTGCCTCCTTTTTAAATGCTGTTAAATGCGATTTAACAAAGTTAACAGCAATGAGTAGCTGGTACTTCTGGTCAGCAGTATTTGTATAGTATTGCATGCTGAGTGCTCTTCACCATTGTACTAGCGTGTTCCAATGTGGCGGTCCCTGGAATGGTCGCTTTGATCTATTCATCTACATCTTTCTGCCCCTCCTACCCTCCCCATCTCCACTGTTAACTCAGTGTGACGGGTACCTGGAAGACTGCGTGGGGACCCATGGCTGGGTGGTGGGGGATTGCCAGCCATTGGAGCATCACATTGTCTAGGGCCCGGCTGGTCACAGTGGAGGCCCCTGGATATCCCAGGCACCCATCTTCCATACAGCATAATACAGTTGTTTATTGTTTTTTCCTCTTCAATCACACACATGAATATATTCATTTTTAAAGAAAAATATTAATATGTGCTAAATCATTTAAAACTCACAATGACATTTAATGTTGGCTTCAACAGCAACCATAGTAACAGGGAGTTAAGCGGGCACCGTAATAAGAAGCAAACTATCGTAATTACTAGTAAAAGAGACATGTAACATTTGTCAAAAAAATGGTAACAGCATTAGGTGCTTGCATGCAAATTGTATATCTCACCAGCATTAAAGACGTGTACCGTTGTGTCTGGAACAGGATCAGGGCCGCTTAATCCTCCACCAAACACAAAAAACTTGCTGCCTATGGACACCATGTTGTGGCAGGTTCTTGGAGATGGCGGGCTTCCACAAGTCTCAACTGTTTCCCATTTGCCTTTTTCTGCAAGTTGTTCAAATAGAAAAGGAAATGCATGGTTACAACACATTGGAAGAATTATTAAAAGCTAAGTTTATTGACAATCCTGCACTTCATGTGCATCATAAGGTGTATTTAATTTGCAGCTTACAACAGATCCTAATTTTTTCTTTTGCTATTCAATTGCATGATAATAAATTTTAAGAATAATAATTTATTATTTATTAAGATTATTTATTATATTGAGTGACTTCATATATTCTCATTGGCTCAGAACATGAAGTTAATTTCTTGTAAGCCACCCTATGTCTTCAAAACCAGTTTATTGATTAGCTTATCTCAGTTGCATTCTAGTTTTACAACATACAAGCCTGACAAATCACAGCAAGAAGTGTCCTAATTGGTGTAGAACTAAAATTCTGATTTCAATCCAAGTGTAAAATAGCCCTAATGATAGTCATGTCAGCTTTATGTGCAAGGCATGGTTAAACGGTAACTTAAAGTAATTTACCTACATCAAGAGCTTGAACGTCATTCAAGTTTGTAGCTTGTTGTGCTCCACCAAATATGTAAACTTTCTTCGGATTGCACTCAGGAATGAAAGCTGAGTGCTCATAACGACTGGCAATACCTGTCCAGTCTGGACAACTCCACTCAAACTTATCTGCCATAATTTATAAGAAATATTAACCACTATTAAAGTAGTAAATCACATGCAAATAGAGTGCAAGTAGGGAAAAACTTAATCTGAACATATAAAGCTGACCCCCTTCATCTTTGTATAAATCTTCAGATCATTTGATCTTCATATAAATCTGGCCACAAAAATCTGGCCGTTTTAACAGGGTGGCTTGAAAGAATAAAAATGCCTGGCCAGTGTAGCAGAAGCTAAACTAGGTGTTCTTACGTCCATTTTTAAACAGGTACAGCTCTAATATTGACAACTGTCAGTCAGGTATTCATGGCAACACACTTTCAGATTTTTAAAATCACACTTTTTAAAATCAACCTTTTGAAATAATCTAACTCTTTGCTCGCGTGACAATTTTTTCTGTCACTAGGCGAGACTGTTGCCTTAATTTAGGTTCTGTTTTCTATCAATATCACCGTGACATGAGCACAAGCAAAAGCTCAAGTTGTTGTTGGACTAGCTTAGTGTCCTCACTATTTCAGGACAAATGTAAACTAATTAAATATGGGAAAAAAGACTTTAAGAAAAAGGACATGAAGCTGTCTATAGTTCAATAACAAACCTAGATCCAAGGAATAAACATCAGCGAACGATCCATCAGGATTTGCTCCACCTATCACCAGAACACGCCGCGGCTCACCACCCACAAACGTACAGGTATGGCCGACCCTTATGCATGGAGCTTCTCCCTCTGGCGATAGAACGTACCACACGTTTGGTTTCGGCGAGTTATTACTCTCTAGGATTGGAAGAACCTCCATCGGATTTGAAATTTCTAGCGAAGTTCGAAAACCTCCTCGCCTCCCGCCATTTTGAAACCGAACCCCCTCTATCCAGCGGACTACGTTAAATGACATGCGCCCACTTATTTAGTCACCAGTTTTTTTCTCTAATCTAACGTGGCAAATACAAAATGGAGGAAATCGTGATTGTGTTTACTCTCGCCTATGTACTGGTTTCGCTGTGTTTCGTGGCCCCTCCGAGAGAATTTGTCAGTGCTGGCTTAACCGTGCAGAATATATTATCCAGTTATTTAGGGAGTGAAGATATGGATTTTGTTGGTTATCATTTGAAGAGGACAACATCCACACTTCTTCTCCATTCTCTTCTCCCACTAGGTAAAGTAAAAATCTTAATATGTTTACAAGTAGTTCTTGTGGCTGCTTATACTGTTATGACTTCTTATTACTTTAGAAAATTTTCCAGGCAGTAGGTAACTTCTGTTTTTTTCTTGGGAGAAAAAGTTATTCTGAATATATCCTTTCAATTTGCAAATTTCCCAACCCCACAAAAAATTTTGTGTAATTAAGCTTAGATGCAATGCTTGAATTCCGCACTGGGTGCCTTGCTGTGTGTTGTAATTTAGAAACCAGTATGACGAATTTAAGAATGGAGTTTGAGAGTAAGTTCTATTTCTGCCACACTCTTGAGTCCATAGTGTTCAATAGCCACATGATCTTGGCTTACTCTGCTGGGCTGTTGGTCTGGCTTTTTGGAGAGAAATGGCAAAATCAGCTACCTACCCCAACAATAAGTCACCTACTTTAAAACTTTGATCCTAAGGCCAGTATGATATCATGTTGATGCAGGGGTTTCAATAATAGCCGGGTAACGGGTAGATCTACCCGCTTGTAATGAGCAGACTACCTGCTTGTAGCGGTCCCAGGTAGCCGTACACAAATAACTAAGACCAGATAATTTCCTCGCAGCTAAGGATTCTCTTCAAGAAATTTGGCAAAATAAGTCTTGTGTTATAGGTAAAGAAAAAGAAACATACTTTCTAGTGTTAACCCAGCCTTTTGGACCACGAATGAAAAGTGTGACCTAACATGCAAGAACAATCGCGTCAATACAAAGTGAAAAAAAATGTGCCAGGCACTTCAGCTGAAATTGAGAGGAAACTGGGACAAAGCATGAATGATAATGGCTGCCAAAAGGCAATTGTTATTAGCATATTTTGCTCCAGCCTCAAAACAAAAGAGGTCGAAGAATGATTCTTCGCAAGGTTAGTTGATTGTATTGAAAGGGACACATTTCGATT